ATTGTCTGGTGCCAGAAGAAATCCTCAACCGTGGCAACCAAATTGCAGAGCGGTGGCGCGGCTGGTGATCCCATAGCGACTCCCCGTTCTTGGCGGAACAAGTATCCGTTGATCTCGAAGTGACTGTTGTCAATGACAAAGTCCAAAAGGTGCCTAAGATCTTGTTCATGAAAAGTTCGAGGGACCTTTGTTTGACGGCGCCATTTTCCTTTGAACATACGGCGTCGATGATCAGACTTTACTTCGAACACTGACCATTGAGAGGATCTGCGAAGGCCAACAACTTGATCGTACCGATGGAGAAGCACTTGTAGTGCCTGGTGGAAGCGTTCCGTAGGAATGGACGTGAAGAAGCCTGACAGGTCTTGTGACACCAGGTGGATGTATTCATCGGGATCTGCCTTTGACAGCGACTCCCACAGCTGCTGGACAAGTTCTTGTACTGAAAGTTGACCTGCAATGTCGGGAAAAGTAGCTTTGGTAAGTTCAAATATGAGGGCGCCGAAGACCGTGAGGAAGGGAGCTGCCCACGTGCGAAAGAATGAAATGATGGGTCGTGCTTTCTGCCAGTCCTTGGTCGGCTTTGGAAGGATGCGAGCTGTGGGCAACGGTGCTTGAAGTCGAAGTCCCCATGCATATCGCTGACGTAGGAGGGAAGGTACCGTAGTTACCACTTCAGAGCGAAAAGATGCTGCGGATTCACGGCAAAGCGAAAAGACATCTCCCGAGCAAAAGGTCTTCCGCATCAGTATGGCAAACAGGGACGGACAAATCACATGTGCGCGGGAGGGGAAATGATCCGCGGGGATTACAACCCACGATGACAGAGAAGCCACGGTGCGCTGCAACGATGTCGATGACCAATAAGCACGATCTTGAAGGTTAGCTCGATGAGTGTCCATCAACTGAGTCAAAACCGGCTGCAGATCAACAAGAAGACTGGAACCATGCACATGCCAGCGACGAGTAAGTTTGCGAAATTGCGTGGTGAAACGTTGATGTAACAAGTCGACATCACCGAAATACTGATCCTTCATTGATGCGGCCATGATTTCCATGTCAATGTCCGCATTGATGCGTGAGAACTCATCAACCATTACAGCATGTCCATGTGCTCGGTGTATATGGTGATCATCGACGTCCAAACAGCGACACGGAAAGAATGTTTCAGGAGTCCATCTGCGCTGCCATGTGCGGTAGTTGTAGATCTTGTCGCCCAACGTGGCACTGCGAGTTTCCACCACCCGGATCTTTGGGAGGAAAAGGGAAGGAAACAAATCACGATGAGAAGCAATCCAGCTTTGTAACCATGTGCCTGCCAAGTAGAGCTTTCCAATTCCGGACATGTACAGGCGGTAGGAGTAGTTGTGTCAAAGTAGTGGGTGATTGTAGCTGTCGTTTGCGTAACACCTGGGCGAGGAGTTTCTGCGCCTTGGAGCGGAAGGGCTCGTTGACAAAGACGGAGAGCCGCAGAAAGTAGTAAAGCTGAGTAGGAGGGAAAGCTGCCGACAGAAGGTCACGCATGGCTTGGAACGATGCACCTGTATTGGATCCCAGCTGATAGAGAATAGAGTAATGGGCCTGAATGTCATCCAGCATGTCGGGACGTAGTTGCCGTTGGAGATCCGGATGTAGTCGTCGTCGAAAGCGTTTGTGCAAGCCGAGGGAAGTGGGAGACGACAACGAGTGACGTCGAAAATCAACGAGGTGTTCCCGGAAGCCCACCTTTCGCAGAAGTCTGTGTACCCAGGGTGCATTCAAATGCGGGCGTAGCAGGTATTGCCATTTGCTTTCCTGGACCCAAACCGAGGAAACGGGAAGTTTGATCTCAACCGGAACAGCACAGAAGAGCCAGTAAGTATTGGATCGCTTCCAGTAGTGAAGCGCGGGTTCGAAGAAGGCATGACGTCCCCGAAGTAGTTGTAGAAATTTGCGACTGCGTGAGTGTTCACGTCGTAGAACATCCTGATCAGTCGCACCAACGTAGTAAGGCGTGTGCCATGGGGAAAGTCGGATGTAGACGCACGGTTGTTGATGATGACCTGGATCGTGAATGAAGTCATAGAGGTCCGGAAATCGTGCCCGCAATGAGCGAAGATGTCGCGTGTCGGCAAAAGTGGAGTGCATGATTTCACACAAGAGAGAAGCCTTGTAGAAGTGAAGGACTTCAAAGAACGGCGGAAAGTAGCCATGATCTTGGGAAATGAGACGTTGTAAGAAACTGATCAATAAATAGGCAGTGCACCGACATCTATGAATCTCATACCTGTTGGCCACAGTGTGTTGAGAGTGTGACATAGCGTGATTCGGAATCTGAAGGGCAATCCGGACCACAACTAAGACTTCCAGAATGAGGCCCAACCACGGTAGTTGTGTGATTGATTCGTACTCATCAGCTGGTATCGACGGTGGTGGTAGTCCAGGGAAGCAGTATTGCCAGCACGTAGAGAACATGGTCAACGAGTGTAAAAAGTTGTCCAGAGACTGCCATTGTGCAACATCATCATAGATTCCACAGCGGCGAAGCTCATCCAACATGGTGAAAATGCAACCAATGAAATCTACCATAAGGCGGCGACATGGATACAAGCTGCACAGACAATCACGCACAAGGCAATGCAAGCACAACCAAGCACAAGATCAAACTGATGCAACGCAGAAAGATGACGGACAAGTTTTAACCTTGACTCATCCGTGACACGGTTGCCGCTCCGGGCTCATAAGAGAACGAAGGTCGTTAAGATGCCTGCTCATCAGCTGAGTAGGCGAGCGGTCACGATGAGGTGACTCAATGCCTTCTCAGTGAGCTTGGTGAGATAGCCGGGCTCCAGTCCCCACGAAGCCGCCATCGCCCCGAGAGTAGGTGCGTCGCCTTTCGGCATGCGTTGACGCGCTTGAAGGAGCTGCGTCGCCATGGAATCTAATGACTTGTTGCCGTTGAGCCGGGACGGGTGATTGGCCCACTTGACCAGTGACGTCAAAGTCGTGGTTGTGGGCGATTGCTTGAGATAAAGGCGTGGCTGGTCACTGGTCCATGTGTAGTACTTGACAACTTCTTCCGGCGTGCTGTGCATGGTGAGCAATTGTGACGCCGCCGGCTTGGACGGCGGTGAAGACACTCCGTGAAGAGACTGAATGATCCGGGGTTGCACCGCGCTATCAAACGACTTGCCATCAAGGGCCGCTGCGCTGGCTGTAGGGAGGGAGCTGGCAGGTGACGAGGATTGTGTGTGGTTGACCGGTGGCGGTGTAACCAACTCTGCATCATCTTTCTGGCTTGCCATCGTGGGAGAGGTCGAAGCGCGCAGCGATGCTGAATACTGAGCTTGGAGCAGCTCATGCGCACGATTTAGATCATTGTACTTCTTGACCATGTCATCTGTCTGGGTGGAAGGTGTGAGAGAAGCGTGGTGTTGCTGAAGAAATTGAAGTACCAAGCTGGCCAAATGGTCATGAACCTTGATCCGCTGATTGAAGTCATCGATGTTGAGACCCAGCGAGTTGGCAAGGTCCTTTTCCAGGGTGAGCAGGTTGATCGACTGTGATCGTCGTAGTAGTTTGGAACAGGTACTCCAAAGTAAGGCCTCGGTGCGAGTGCGAAAGCCTTCCCACGTCACGAATCTGCCGTGAGCGAACGGTCGGAGCAGCCAGTTGGTGAGGCCCTTAATGGCCCTTATGAATAACCTGAACCAGGCGAACGTCACGAATATCCATGCCTGACATGTCGCGCAGGTTGCCATGCGGAGTGTTGGCAACGGTCATGGGCAGGCTAAAGTTGTAGAGCTGATTGACATCAAACATGCCATCTCCAGGTGTCCAGTCAGGCGATGGTGTAAGCCAGGCTTTCTGAGGGCGAACCGGTAGAGCCGCAGGAGGTCCAGGTGGCTGTGTAGGTTGCGGAGTAGTGACCGGTGGTGGCATCACGGGTGGCATGAACTTCGTTGGCGTGGGGTCTGGAGGGATCGGCATCATGTAGTTGATCGCTGGGTGTTGGAATTGCTGTGTGGGATTGTGAGTCGATTGAAAATTGGTGGGCATCATCGGGAAATTGTTGGCAGAGTTGTAGCCGGAATTGTGTTGCCAAGATACCAGGTTGTTCCAATCCATGCCTTCCGAGACGTGGTGGTCATTGTGTTCACGTCGGTGTGCTTTACGAGCCTGAGGAGAAGTACTCCGATCACGTCTGCGCCGAGTCCTGGATCTATCACGATCATCACGTCGAGACATGGTTACACAATCGACTCTCAATCTTCACGCTTCCATCTTGAGAGACACGTATCAGACAACAAGCAAATCCATGCAACGGCAAGGTATCAACGAATCCAACAAATGGCAAGCAAACATCGATGGTGAGACGTCTCTATGATCTGACCGCTGTCTTCCCTTTAGTGAGACCTCGTTCCTGGTTAAATGTGAAATTCCGCTGTTCTATGATAAGCACGTTGAGGTCAAATTTTCCGACAGAGCCGGCCCGGGGTCACACAATGGGTACACCCGAGGATTCCCCACGAATGGGGTGTACACACTTAAACTCCAAATGGAGAGTGCTAATCTTTCGAGTACAACTGATGAGTCTCGAGTACAACTGATGAGTCTCGGCTGAGTTCTGCTTGCAAGTTGCTTGCAAGTCACTTGGCTTCACTTTAGAAACGAAAGCGTTACCCGAAAGAACAAGAAGCACAAACAGCGCCGCAACCAAGGGGCCAAATAGACATTCAGAATCACTTGCAGGTACGCATTGAGGCGTCCCTCAACGCTTCCGGCCAAACTTCCATAGCTTCGTTGGCGTGGCTAGGAAGATGGCTGCCACGCCCCCTGCTGAGAAACCGAAAGGGTGGTGACAGGGCATTCTGTCACTCCGCACACACACACACCAAAAAAAAAACACATGAGGCGCTCCCAACCTCCCCAAAACACCCATGTCGGTTTTCCACCCACCCCCCCAAGAAAACACACAACATGTTGGCTTGTTCCCCGCGTTTCACGCCGCGCGCGCGCGCCTCGCCGCTTCTTTTTGGCCGCGGGTTTCGCCTTTGGCTGAGTCTTTGGCTCCGGCGAGGCGGGCTCGGGCTTGGGCTCCTGAGCGCGACCCGGTGCGGTTGTGGTTTTAGGGGGGGGGTCAATCTGAAAACCCGCAGCTTTGGGGGGGGGGGGGGGGAACTTGGCTTTAGGGGGGGTAAATCTGCAGCTTTGGGAGGTCAGGGGGGAGAAGACTGGTGAATTATATAGATTCAAGGGTTACCGGTTTGGGGCCCAAAAGGAAACAACAAACCGTCCAAGTGCGCTGCTCGCACATTTTCACGCTTGAACAGCCACACTGCGGATGCAATGGATGTAAAACCCCATACTGACCGATCAAATTCTTCACCCCCCTCTGCGTGTTAAAGGGGCCTTTCACAAAGCAGCCAAACAGTAACACAACAGAGGGAGAAGGTCAGGGGAACCATTGTTACGTGCAAACCATGACAGTTGCGCTTTCAGCGCCACTGCCAAGTTGTCCGCTCCATCCGGACCAATTCTGCCAGCTGCCTTGGCTCCAATGCTCACCCTCGCGGGCGGCGGGGGCACTTGTCTCGGCATAGCGAGCGGCATTGCGAGCAAGGTGTTTGCTGCTCTCGTTCCTCGAAAATTCAATCGAGTTACGTGCATACCGCTCATTCTGGCTGAAAATCCAGTCCATCTCGTTGCGGAGGTCGTCCAACGTGTTGCTTCGCAGATGGATGATGCCATTCCAACAACCGATGCTGCGAGGCTTGTCTTGCTCAAAAACCACGTTGATGAAAGCTCTCGGGCTATAAGGCATCCCTTGGAACATTATGATCCAGCGAGAGGAAAGCGCATCTTGAAGTTCGTTGGGCAGGAACTCCAACTCTGTCTTGATATACGCGAGCCTTGCGATTCGCGACTCCGAAGTTGATCCAAGGCCAACTCCCAGAGTGCGCTGGGCTTGCGACTGCTTTGGAGCAGCCAAGACGAGATTTGCGCTCAACTCCGTGCGGAGCATGTCCGCCTCCCGACGGCCCACCTCAAGCATACGAACCCTGTATTGAAGGTCGAGTTCATAGCGATCAAGCAGAGAGTGGTAGCCGTTCTTCAGGGCGGACTTGAGCTTCTTCCGTGCCTCCTGAATGACAGCACTGTCCGGGGAGTTCAAGCCACGAATGATGCTGCTACGATCCTCCGCGGAGGTCAAATGTTCCCACAGATGCCAGGACCTGAGCTGTGACGTGGGTGCTGAGGCCCATCTTCTTCAGCAGATTGGAACGCTGCACGATGTAATTCTTCTGTTGCTCTTTCAACAGGCGTGGATTGAGGGGAGACAACTGCCCACATGATGAGCAGTGCACCTGCCCCTCGAATACACTGTTGTTGCAAACCGGGCACGTGGCGACGTTCAGCTCAACGTTCTCCATTGGGTTGAAAGTCTTCTGTCTCTTCGCTTCCCCTTGCGGGGCGCGAGGAGAGGCCACATTTGTGCGCGTTGTAGCAATACGTTCCAGCGCTGTTGAACGATCATCAACCACGGCTTGGTCGCGCCTCATTCCCTGGGGTTCATCCTCAGTCGCCTCAGCTGGTGCACCTGCATCCGATTGCTCGGAGCGAGTGTACCATACATCGCCATTTGTAGCGTCCAATACAGAAATAATCGTGTAGTTGGGCACCTTGTCGCGCGTAAGGACGCCGTCGCTCTCCGTCTTGAAAAAGCAAAGCCCTGCGCGAATGGCCATTCTGAGGTCGATCTGTATCTCCAGGGGTTTGTTCGCACGTACACCTGAGATGTAATTTTCATTCGTGCTGGGGACGTCAGCGAAGAAAACGTGAGGTCGTCCTGTCTCGTGCTGGTCCCCTCCTCCTGGCAGCAGACCGTTCCGCATGATGTTAGCGAAATTTCGCTTATCAGTGCGGTGATAAAGCACAGTTGGAGGGTTGCTGCAAACGTTCCAGCCAGACCAGCGCCCGAGGTCAGTCCCCGGGTTCACGTACCACTCCTTCGCGATGCCGGAGTCGTCGATCTGGAGCCAGTCCTCGTGGCCTTGAGAGGCCTTCAGCTTGAAAAGCCAATGAGAACATGGGACGTCTCCGCACCGGCTTGCGTCCGGGCAACCAAGGCCAATGAATCTCTGCTTCTTGTCCAGCTTGAAGATATCCATGATATTCTGAATATTCCATGGAATGGGATGTCGCAGCTCCTTGCGAAGCGCGAGTCCCAGGTCTTCGAGGTCCATGTAGCCGTCCTCATCCATCACATACCCGCATCCTTCTGTTCCACGACCACGGAGGATCTTGGAGATGCACGTCAGGGAACGGTGGTATTCGTCACTGATTCTCCTGACGGAAGGGTCGTAATCGAAAGAGGGCTGCTTGATGATGTCGAGTCTCTTGGGGCCCTCACCGTAGTCGACATACTTCACGCCATCATGAATGCTATACACCCAGCAGTCATAGTGGCCCCCAGTCACGCTCCTCCCGTAGGAGTCGAGTGGTACCGGCCTGCTCGCCGCCTCGTCCCTCTTTGCCACCGCAGCCGCCTTTGCACCGGCTTGCGCCGGGCGAACACTTTCGGAAACATCTGCACCGGAAGGCTCACCTAAAGTTGCAAACTCGGCTGGGTTGACGGGGGCGACATCGAGAGGCTGCCGGACTTCCACTTCTTCACGGGTGAAAGGGAGCCCGATCATCTCTGACAAAGAAACACCGCACTTCGTTAGCGTCTCCTTGCAGTACGCGAGAACCTGAACGTTGACTGTGCAATCTTCTTGGTGGCGCACCTCGAGCACATCGATCGGACGCACGGTACAGTCGTGCGAACGTGTCAGCTCGGCTACGCTGCCCATTGCGGGGCGCAAGATAGAAAGCATATACAACATGTGATGGGTTCCGCGCATGAACTGGACGGTCTTCGTGATGTTGTCGTCACTGAAGCACATATGATACCTGTCCAGCAAATCGATGGTCTCGACAAAGGGTGTAGCATCTACGTACACGAACATATGATTGGGGTCGCCGATGATGTAATCCCGGACTTCCGTCATGTAACGGTCCCAAATCATAGAGAAGCCGTAGAGATAGCTTTTCGCGCCGGTCATGACTCCAAGGCATGCGCAGCCCTTGCGGGCCGCGAAATCCCTGGTCCAAGCCAGGTGCCTCTTGGTGTCTGCCAGCAACTGACTGGCCTCGCCGGCGGGGTGGTCGAACGGATAGGTGCCGCTGGGCTCAATGCAGTCCTTCCCAACAAGCTCATTGCCGTTCCAATAAATCATCGGAACGATGGTCGCCGTTGGGTAGTCCGTACGCACCTCGTCGATAAGGGCGGCCATGCGCTTGCACAGCTGTTGTAAGCCCTTGCCCCAAAGCATTTCTGACCTCCATGCACCGACACGCGCCGGGCGAGAAGCATCCAAGCGTTCTGCAAAGTCATACTTGCGAAGCTTCTTCTTCTTGCCCGAAACCATTGAAAGTCCTGAGTCAGCGACAGTCAAATAGATAAGGAGGTCGCCATCTGGTACACGTGGGGCCTGCACAACCTTCAAATAAGGTTCGCTTATAGTTAACAGGGGTGTAAGCAACTGCAAATAATGCGGTTGGTCCTGCACCCATGTATGAATAAGCGACTGTGCAGAGGTCGTCTCCAGGAGGCCCTTGACCGTAGCGGCGAGGTTAGCGTCGTACTTGCCGTTCGTGCATACCGATGTGGTAGCAACATTCTCCATCCACCGCCTCCATGCCGGATCGCAATCCCTCGCGGGATGCGCCATATTGGGCCGCTCATTGCGAAAACGATGCAGCACAATCACTCGAAAGCAACGGCTGCATGGTGGCATGTTCGGAAAATGCATTGTGAACGGCATCAGTGTAAATGTACGTGTATCCCTCGGCTTCCTTCAAGTGGGTGCCACGGCTTTCATCATGCTCGTGAGAACCATCACATTTGAAGTACTCAACAACGGAAATAGTGGGCATATTGCTGGCAACGACCCATTGCTTTTTCATTGGTTTTCCATTTCTCCCTTTGATGCCGATTTTGCAACCATGGAATTCATACTTGTTCATCTTGTACTTAGTTAAGAAACTCCATAGTTCAGGCCATTTCCAATAACGACATGCCTTGGGGAGTTCGAAAGCAACTCTAATGTCATTTGAATAAACATCATTGAGAATGCGTTTGAACCCTCTCAACAGTGATCGGAATTGCTTGATGTGGCCCTCAATCTTGGCAGCACCTTTGGGAGCTTGCTGGTTGACATAACCCCACGGGCAACCTCCAGTGCATGGCAACGAGACGTAGAACATGATTGCGCCCTTAGGATTCTTGCTCCTGAATTCGGCGATTTCACGGCCTAACCACTGCCTGCACGTATCGGAGCACCCGTCTTCGGTTTCCGTTACCCGAATGACACGGCAACCTTTTGAAGAGTCTCTTGATTCGCCCAACCGTGAGGTCGTCGAACAACAGAATTCAATAAGGAGGCGCTTGGGCTGAACGTTGCATAACGCAGCGATCTGCCCCCCCTGATCGCTAACTTCTCCGGCCTTGGCGCATGGGGAGAGCAGCAAACTGGTGGCACAGGCTCGCGCCTGGCGACTGGGGGAGATACCGATCAGCTCAAGTGCATGGTGCCACACTGGGGTGCTGTCAAACGCCTTGGTCAAGATGTCTGCAGCTTGGAGGGTAGTGTCAACATTGATTAGTTCGAACTGCCTATTCACGAATTGCTCCTGGAGCCATCTAAAGCTAATGCGTTGGGTCCTATCCGTGTGCCTTAGCTTCTGTGAGTGTCCCTGCTGCAGGATAGTGATCGTGGCCTGATTGTCTTCCATCAGCTTAACTTTCCACTTATCACTGAGATGCACAGTTAGGGCATTGATGTTTGCTACACTTGTACCCGCATCAACATTTCCGTACCGAATTTCATCCAACTCGGGATCAATGCGAGCAACAATGCCATCGGGCACATCAAGGGAGGCTTTTCCAGCCTTTTGAGCATACCCATGTGCTTCTTTCCCAAACAGGCTGAGCTGACAGAAAAGCGACAGCGTCGGCAATCCCTCTGCTCTGAGCGCCTGGTTCGCAGCGATGA